TGTCCTTCACCCTCGAATACATAGTGTGTACGCAAGATGCATTTCTTATCCTATGTCTTGAAGCATCTATTGTCTACACAGGTTTTCGCATCTCCTCGCTGGTGAAATTAATGTCTGCACAAATAACTCATTACGATTGTGACCGAATATAAACATGTAAACAGTTCATTACATTTGTAACTTGTTCAGCTATCAAAACTTTGGGGCCCAGTCCCTGGACCCATTATATATTTCTGTAATGCTTTGACGGCCGCCCACAGGATGGATATGGTGTGCATAGTGAAGGTGTTAAACTAACTTGTTGTTGCCCATCTACCATAGGGATAATTTTTATGTCTAACTTTCTTACGTTCTGTCCAGTACGTATCGTTACGTCAGCTACATATTCAACGAGTCTGTCTGTAGTAATGCAGAGACACATTTCTGATAGAGCAAACCTTAATTTAGTCAACGTTTCACTCTGTGTGGAGTTTTATCAAAAGAAAGCTCTACACAGAGCGAAACGTTGCCCCAATTAAAGCTAGTTACGCGACATGCCTTTTATTCAACCCATTTTTGTCCTAAATAGTGGGTAGATTTTTCCCACTTCAAAATTTTGCAGTGACATATATAACCTGTGACTTTAATCATGTACTGGAGGAACCTGCTTTACAGTTCTTCTCTGTACGGTGCTAACCTTTACAGGGTTTCATTTTACGTCGTTCCGCCTTACGGCGTTTCGTTAATACAGCAATTTTCAGTTATACCTATTCTTCATATATTCAGACTTCCTATAATAAATACTCACCACACACGATAAGCTATAGATGAAAATATTTTAAGGTAAGTAATATGTGTACTGTATATACGTTTTTTATGCCTAACTATAATGCTCACATTTTCTCAGGCTTTTATATGCATTTAAAAGTGGAAAAGGGCTATGATTCACTTAACAGCGATTTTAGTTTTGCAGCAATAGCCCGGAATCTAACCTGATGCATAAGCGGGGCCCTCTTGTACAGCAGCCCGGAACCTAACCTGTTGTATAAGCAGGGCCCCTAATGTATGTGGTTTGCCATTGATTAATGGGCTAAATATCATTTTGATTATATTGTGGTCATGATAACTAATGGGGCAGTAAACTGATTACGATGCCAAAAAATTGGTGACGATTAACAAGAGTTGATCATGATAGCAAGAAATTGATGATAGAAATTTTGTCATGATGGCAAGAAATTGATGAGGATAGCAAGAATTTGATCACGATAGCAAGAACTTGGCGATAGCAGGGATGTGATCACAGTAGCAAGAAACTGATGAGGATAGCAAGAATTTTGTCATGATGGCAAGAAATTGGTCATGTTAGTCACGATAAATTAACCAGGGCACTCATGAAATAGTAACGACGATAGTAAAAATGGTCACGATAGCCACAAAATAGTCACAATAGTAGTCAATTAACCACATTAGTCCTCTCGCTTGAGCCACTCTTCCCTGCTTTGCCCTCCATCCCCCTTCCACAACCTCATCTTCCACAACCCCCCTCTTCTACAACACCCCTCTTCTACAACCCCCCTCTTCTACAACCCCCCTCTTCTACAACCCCCCCTTTTCCACAAACCCCCTCTTCCACAAACCCCCTCTTCCACAAGTCCCCTCTTCCACAAGTCCCCTCTTCCACAAGTCCCCTCTTCCACAACCTCCTCCCATCCACACAATGCTTACCATTTTTCACTCTTTCCCCTCTCCCTTGATGTTCTGGGCTCCGTCACTCCGGGTTTGTGTACCTTGGCTTCCATGGTATAAATTATCTTACTGCCAGCTTCCAGGAAATGTATTTTGTAGAAATGTGAAGGATTGTGTGTGTGTATGAGATGAATGTGAACACTGATCATGTAGACGGTGGGACGAGTGTATCTGCTCGAGTGTAAGTGTCTGTCTGAGTGTATAGTGTAATACTTGCCAACACACACACACACAGGCGCGCGCGCGCGAGATAAAGCTCATGGAGCAGGGAGAGAGAGAATCCAGTAGCGACCAGCGAAGAGACGGTGCCAGGAGCTGTGAATCGACCCCCGCAACCACAGCTAGGTGAGTACACACACCTGAGGGACACAAGAGAAGGCTGGACGTCATCCAAAACTTTGCAAAATAACACCATGATCCACAAGGTCACAGTGCCACTACCACCTTCCTCGGGCACCTCCTTGGCACCCTGCTTAAGTCCCTGCGATCTTTAAGATCGCTGGGTGCCTAGCTAGGTGACCCGGTCTGCATGGGTGACTGAGTAACCGATCAGGTGTCTATCTGCTTCCTTAGGAGGGTATAAGAGTTCCTACTTGGGTGAATTTTGTAGTATTTACCTGTATATTGGGTAACTTAAGAAGTGCCTGAGTGCCTTACTGGGTGACTGTGCAAGTAATTAAGTGCCTAACTGTGTGTTCTGGCATTTGAATGAATGCCTGAGTGTTCAACTGGTGCCAGAGAGAGAGAGAGAGAGAGAGAGAGAGAGAGAGAGAGAGAGAGAATTTACTTTCAGGCTGAAATTGAATCAGAAAAACTAAATGGCTGTTATGTGATTAAAGATAAACTAGGTAACCTGAGCAGTGGCCTGTGTGTGTGTGTGTGTGTGTGTGTGTGTGTGTGTGTGTGTGTGTGTGTGTGTGTGCGTGTGCGTGCGTGCGTGCGTGTTGTCAGTTTTTTCTCTTCATTTAGTTATTATTTTGCTTAGAACTCTTCCTTATCTAGCTTCTTGTATTCTCTTATTTTCTCAAATATAGTTTCCATATAGGAAGATAAGCTTGTGGGAAAGCACAGTGTCCAGGAAGATAAGCTTGTAGGAAAGCACTGTGTCCAGGAAGATAAGCTTGTGGGAAAGCACAGTGTCCAGGAAGATAAGCTTGTGGGAAAGCACAGTGTCCAGGAAGATAAGCTTGTAGGAAAGCACTGTGTCCAGGAAGATAAGCTTGTGGGAAAGCACAGTGTCCAGGAAGATAAGCTTGTGGGAAAGCACAGTGTCCAGGAAGATAAGCTTGTGGGAAAGCAGTGTCCAGGAAGATAAGCTTGTAGGAAAGCACTGTGTCCAGGAAGATAAGCTTGTGGGAAAGCACAGTGTCCAGGAAGATAAGCTTGTAGGAAAGCACTGTGTCCAGGAAGATAAGCTTGTAGGAAAGCACTGTGTCCAGGAAGATAAGCTTGTGGGAAAGCACAGTGTCCAGGAAGATAAGCTTGTAGGAAAGCACTGTGTCCAGGAAGATAAGCTTGTGGGAAAGCACAGTGTCCAGGAAGATAAGCTTGTGGGAAAGCACAGTGTCCAGGAAGATAAGCTTGTAGGAAAGCACTGTGTCCAGGAAGATAAGCTTGTGGGAAAGCACAGTGTCCAGGAAGATAAGCTTGTGGGAAAGCAGTGTCCAGGAAGATAAGCTTGTAGGAAAGCACTGTGTCCAGGAAGATAAGCTTGTAGGAAAGCACTGTGTCCAGGAAGATAAGCTTGTGGGAAAGCACAGTGTCCAGGAAGATAAGCTTGTGGGAAAGCACAGTGTCCAGGAAGATAAGCTTGTAGGAAAGCACTGTGTCCAGGAAGATAAGCTTGTGGGAAAGCACAGTGTCCAGGAAGATAAGCTTGTGGGAAAGCAGTGTCCAGGAAGATAAGCTTGTAGGAAAGCACTGTGTCCAGGAAGATAAGCTTGTAGGAAAGCACTGTGTCCAGGAAGATAAGCTTGTAGGAAAGCACAGTGTCCAGGAAGATAAGCTTGTAGGAAAGCACTGTGTCCAGGAAGATAAACTTGTGGGAAAGTACAGTGTCCAGGAAGATAAGCTTGTAGGAAAGCACAGTGTCCAGGAAGATAAGCTTGTGGGAAAGCACAGTGTCCAGGAAGATAAGCTTGTGGGAAAGTACAGTGTCCAGGAAGATAAGCTTGTAGGAAAGCACAGTGTCCAGGAAGATAAGCTTGTGGGAAAGCACAGTGTCCAGGAAGATAAACTTGTGGGAAAGCACAGTGTCCAGGAAGATAAGCTTGTGGGAAAGCACAGTGTCCAGGAAGATAAGCTTGTGGGAAAGCACAGTGTCCAGGAAGATAAACTTGTGGGAAAGCACAGTGTCCAGGAAGATAAACTTGTGGGAAAGCAGTGTCCAGGAAGGTAAGCTTGTGGGAAAGCAGTGTCCAGGAAGGTAAGCTTGTGGGAAAGCAGTGTCCAGGAAGGTAAGCTTGTGGGAAAGCAGTGTCCAGGAAGATAAACTTGTGGGAAAGCACAGTATCCAGGAAGATAAGCTTGTAGGAAAGCACAGTGTCCAGGAAGATAAGCTTGTGGGAAAGCAGTGTCCAGGAAGGTAAGCTTGTGGGAAAGCAGTGTCCAGGAAGATAAGCTTGTGGGAAAGCAGTCTCCAGGAAGATAAGCTTGTAGAAAAGCCTTGTGCCCAGGAAAGCAAGTTGATTTTGGTCTTGTTATAGCTAATAATGTTGCGGGATACCAGTCAGCAGACTACCATCCAGTTACCTGTTTATTCCTGGGTGAACAGGTACCCATATATCACGACTCTGCCTTGAATCGCGATCCCTGGTTTTCGCTTGTGGTATCAGACTCTCTAGAGATGGGCAAGGTGCAAGTCCACACCGAGAGGCTAACTGCTGCGAACTATCGTGTATTGTCTAGGTGTGTGAATCTAGAATTGTTGACCACATCACATTTCGTTCTAAGCCTTACTGAGATAGTCTTGTTATTAGTTAAGTCTGAAGTGTTAAGTATGTTAGAAGTGATGTAGAATAACAAGACACAGTACAGTGACTGGAACAATACACAAATAACCCGCTTTTAGGAGACAGAAACCGTTTACAAGTGACTAGTTAATGGTCCACGTCGGGCGAAACGTCATCATAAATTTCAGTCTCCCTAGTGCTGGTTATTTGTGTATTAGAGGGGATATCTATGGCCAGAAATCCTTGCCCTGCCACCGTCTCCCAGATGTCGTTGTCTGAGATGAGCCAACAGCACAACATTTCTTGCCCGCTCTTCCCCACCAGGTCACCGGCGCTCGCTCTCCTCTGGTACCTCCGGGGTGGTGGTGGTGAAGCCTGGGGAAGGGGAAGAAGGGGGATGGGTGAAGGGTTGTGGTGGTGTTGAGGTAGGGGACACGGCTGCTGCTGGTACTCCCCTTCCTCCCTCCCTCCCCCACTCCGTCAACCTCCACATGCCGCATTATCAGATAGGTGAGTTTACCCTGTTTCCTCTCCTCTTATTCTCATTTTTCCACCTCTCCTGTCTACTCTTTCGCTTTTTTCCTCCTCTTTTTCCCCCTTTTTCACTTCTGGTTTTCACTCCGTGCTCAATCTTGTCTTCCACTGCTGCCTTTGTATGTATATATACACTGGCCTTCCTGCTTCACCATCCTTCTTTCCCCTTTCTTAGTATCAGTAGTCAAGCTTTTACTTGTAGCAGCAGAAGCAGCAGTGGTAGTAGTAGTAGTAGTAGTAGTAGTAGTAGTAGTGTTACAACAATTGCACTTTTGTTGTATCAGAAATGTTGTACATATATATTTTTCCGTGTTTGCGTATCACTGTTATGGTCATGACGTGGCGAGTGGGTAACGCAAGACTGAACTGCCCTGAAATAGATGTTACGGGAGAATAATCTCACGTGCACTGATAGATGTATTTACCTCCGTGAACAAGGTATCGAGATGTTGAATGTTGCACCTGAACTAACCTGTAACTTTGTTGAAATTATCTTAGCATGTGTGTCAGTTGCAGCCATGATTTATTTCCTGCTTTACAGCCCCTCCAGGGAGGTGTTGTGGTGCTGGTGATGGGCTCTTGATCCAAGGAATAGGATCTATGCTCCTCACCTTTCCTTAGACCGAACATAATGGACTCCCATTCGCCAGGAGCTGTGACCCCTACGGTTTTAGTCTTCCACTACGAGTAATAATCCTGGTTCAGAATTGTGTGTACTCACCAGTTTGTGGTTGCAGAGGTCGACTCACAGCTCCTGGTCGACCTATGTATTTGTGTGTGTGTGTGTGTTGGGTGAGTGTGTGTACTGGGTCAGTGCATGAAAAATGAGACGAAATAACTAGCTTCTAGCCTGGTACTCCTCAGCATGGGAATCCATGCCTGTCTGTTGCTGAGTAGAGAGAATATTGTGTTTGATTCTTTTGCTCACGTGGGAAGTGTGTCCAGCAAGCATCCCACGACCTTCATGTGTAGACACTGTGAGGAGACAAGGTGGGTGCTTGTGTCCAGCAAGCATCCAACGAACTTCGTGTGTAGACACTGAGGAGACAAGGTGGGTGCTTGTGTCCAGCAAGCATTCCACGACCTTCGTGTGTAGACACTGTGAGGAGACAAGGTGGGTGCTTGTGGCCAGCAAGCATCCCACGAGCTTCGTGTGTAGGCACTGTGAGGAGACAAGGTGGGTGCTTGTGTCCAGCAAGCATCCCACGACCTTCGTGTGTAGACACTGTGAGGAGACAAGGTGGGTGCTTGTGGCCAGCAAGCATCCCACGACCTTCGTGTGTAGACACTGTGAGGAGACAAGGTGGGTGCTTGTGTCCAGCAAGCATCCCACGACCTTCGTGTGTAGACACTGTGAGGAGACAAGGTGGGTGCTTGTGGCCAGCAAGCATCCCACGAGCTTCGTGTGTAGGCACTGTGAGGAGACAAGGTGGGTGCTTGTGTCCAGCAAGCATCCCACGACCTTCGTGTGTAGACACTGTGAGGAGACAAGGTGGGTGCTTGTGTCCAGCAAGCATCCCACGACCTTCGTGTGTAGACACTGAGGAGACAAGGTGGGTGCTTGTGTCCAGCAAGCATCCCACGACCTTCGTGTGTAGACACTGTGAGGAGACAAGGTGGGTGCTTGTGTCCAGCAAGCATCCCACGACCTTCGTGTGTAGACACTGTGAGGAGACAAGGTGGGTGCTTGTGGCCAGCAAGCATCCCACGAGCTTCGTGTGTAGGCACTGTGAGGAGACAAGGTGGGCGCTTGTGTCCACCAAGCATCCCACGACCTTCGTGTGTAGACACTGTGAGGAGACAAGGTGGGTGCTTGTGTCCAGCAAGCATCCCACGACCTTCGTGTGTAGACACTGTGAGGAGACAAGGTGGGTGCTTGTGGCCAGCAAGCATCCCACGAGCTTCGTGTGTAGGCACTGTGAGGAGACAAGGTGGGCGCTTGTGTCCACCAAGCATCCCACGACCTTCGTGTGTAGACACTGTGAGGAGACAAGGTGTGTGCTTGTGTCCAGCAAGCATCCCACGACCTTCGTGTGTAGACACTGTGAGGAGACAAGGTGGGTGCTTGTGGCCAGCAAGCATCCCACGAGCTTCGTGTGTAGGCACTGTGAGGAGACAAGGTGGGTGCTTGTGTCCAGCAAGCATCCCACGACCTTCGTGTGTAGACACTGTGAGGAGACAAGGTGGGTGCTTGTGTCCAGCAAGCATCCCACGACCTTCGTGTGTAGACACTGTGAGGAGACAAGGTGGGTGCTTGTGTCCAGCAAGCATCCCACGAACTTCGTGTGTAGACACTGTGAGGAGACAAGGTGGGTGCTTGTGTCCAGCAAGCATCCCACGACCTTCGTGTGTAGACACTGTGAGGAGACAAGGTGGGTGCTTGTGGCCAGCAAGCATCCCACGAGCTTCGTGTGTAGGCACTGTGAGGAGACAAGGTGGGTGCTTGTGTCCAGCAAGCATCCCACGACCTTCGTGTGTAGACACTGTGAGGAGACAAGGTAGGTGCTTGTGTCCAGCAAGCATCCCACGACCTTCGTGTGTAGACACTATGAGGAGACAAGGTGGGTGCTTGTGGCCAGCAAGCGACCCTCTGACACCTTCAAAGGGAACTGACCTCTTGTGCTTGTACATAGTAGCCTCTCAGTGGGATATTGCCTAAGGGATAACCAGTTTACAACAAGTGGAAGATAAGTATTAGCTAATTTGAAACCGGTGGAAGGATGGTATGGCCAGTTTACAACATGGAAGGTTTAGTATGGTCAATTTACAACAAATGGAAGGTATGGTATGTACAATTTACAACCACTTCTCAACCCCATTGCTCTCTCTCTCTCTCTCTCTCTCTCTCTCTCTCTCTCTCTCTCTCTCTCTCTCTCTCTCTCTCTCTCTCTCCTTTCCCTCCTCCTCCACCCCACCTCTTCTTCTTCGTCATCCTTTACCTTATCTCTGCTTTTCTCAACCCTAATTTTGAATGAGGTGGAGGGGTAAGCCAGTGGAAGACCCCACCCAGATGACCAAAAGCTCCAGCGGCGGGTCATCATATGACTAAGACGCGCGTCAGGAAACACTTGTCCTGTTTGTTGACAAACCTGACCTTACCTCCAGGGTTGCTTTCCTATATTTGTGTCTTGGGTTTTTCAGGTAATTATGGATGTTAAATAAAACTGTACGAGCTTTGACTACTTCTATTATTATTATTATTATTATTATTATTATTAGTGTTATTGTTGGTGTTTTGATGTTTATATTATTAGTAGTAATTGAATGTTCGTATTTATTCTTTTATAAAGAACTGTTTTTTATACATTTTGCACAGTTATATAAATTACTGCTCCGTGTGCGTGTGTGCTTACCTATTTGTGGTTGCAGGGGTCGATTCATAGCTCCTGGCCCCGCCTCTTCACTAATCGTTACTAGGTCCTCTCTCTCTCCTGCTCCATGAGCTTTATCATACCTCGTCTTAAAACTATGTATGGTTACTGCCTCCACTACGTGTGTGTGTGTGTGTGTGCGTGTGATTACTCAGAGCACACACTCCACGTATCGCTTTTCTTTGTGTATACTGAAGGCTTTTCATCACGACAGATTGAGAAAGGAAGTGCCACTCCCTCCCCCACCCCACTCCCCTCACACCCACTCCCCTCACCCCACTCCCCTCACCCCACTCCCCTCACCCCACTTCCCCCTCCTCCAACTCTGCAGGTCGGATATTACATATGTTGTGTCTCACCATGTTTACTTGACTCACCACTCACACACACACACACACACACACACACACACACACACACACACACACACACACACACACACACACACACACACACACACACACACACACACGCACGCACGCACATTTCTTCAGCCACAGAATTGTTAGGAAGTGGAATAGTCTGGCAAGCGATGTAGTGGAGGCAAGACCCATACATAGCTTTAAGGCGAGGTATGATAAAGCTCATGGAGCAGGGAGAGGGAGGACCCAGTAGCGGTCAGTGAAGAGGCGGGGCCAGGAGCTGAGTATCGACCCCTGCAACCACAATTAGGTGAGTACAATTATGTGCGTGCACACACTCTCTCTCTCTCTCTCTCTCTCTCTCTCTCTCTCTCTCTCTCTCTCTCTCTCTCTCTCTCTCTCTCTCTCTCTCTCTCTCTCTCTCTCTCTCTCTCTCTCTCTGTTGACTGAAGTGTGAGCAATACCCATCGTCCCTGTGCCCTCCTCTGCCCTCCCTGTTCTCCCTGCCCTCTGCCCTCCCTGTTCTCTCTGCCCTCCCTGCCCTCCTCTGCCCTCCCTGCCCTCTTCTGCCCTCCCTGTTCTCCCTGCCCTCCTCTTCCCTCCCTGCCCTCCCTTCAGTACTTAACTGGTTGCTCATGACATGACTAACCAAACACCCTGGCTTCTCTGTGGTGCCCCGTGCCCGGCTGTGTTGGGCATCGCCGCTGCTGATGACCACAGAGCCCTCCATGCGGGCAGCAGCTGGAGCAGCCTGCAGCAGCAGCAGCAGTAGTAGCAGCAGCATTGGGCTGGAAACGGCCCTCCGCTACCCACACCAACCCTTCCTACCCACATCCACACCCTCATGGCTACCGTACCCGATCTTCCCACCCGAGTTTGGTGAGTATCCACTTATGACGTACTGGGGTGGTAGTTGTGGTAGTAAAGTACTGCTGGTGGTAGTTATGGTAATGTAATTTTGGTGGTGGTAGTTGTGGTAGTGTAATACCTGGAATGGTGGTAGTTGTGGTATAGTGTAATACTGCTGGTGGTAGTTGTGGTGGTGTAATGCTAGTGATGGTGGAAGTTGTGGTGGTCTAGTAGTGTAATGCTAGTAATAGTGGTAGTTGTGGTGGTCTAGTAGTGTAATACTAGTAATGGTGGTAGTTGTGGTGGTCTAGTTGTGTAATTGTGCAGACTTACGAAGAGGGGGGGCTGCATTTTCGACCTCTTCCCGAGCCCCTCTTCAGAAGGTATCTTCTGAAGAGGTTCTAAGCCAATGCTCGAAATGTGCAAACCCTTTTTTTTTTATTCCGTTTATATCTCCAGTTTAGGCAGTGCTTTTGTGGCGTCTTCCTAATTAATAATAATAATAATAATAATAATAAGTTTTATTTCTTAAACATACAAATGGATGAAAATTTCTGGAAATTTCTCGTATATTTTTTTTTAAGTACCTTGCCCCGTGCTGTGATTATGTAGCTGGTGGGTTCAGTGTACTCGACGTGGGTTCAGTGTACTCGACGTGGGTTCAGTGTATTCGACGTGGGTTCAGTGTACTCGACGTGGGTTCAGTGTACTCGACGTGGGTTCAGTGTACTCGACGTAGGTTCAGTGTACTCAACGTGGGTTCAGTGTACTCGACGTGGGTTCAATGTACTCGACGTAGGTTCAGTGTACTCAACGTAGGTTCAGTGTACTCAACGTGGGTTCAATGTACTCGACGTAGGTTCAGTGTACTCAACGTGGGTTCAATGTACTCGACGTAGGTTCAGTGTACTCAACGTGGGTTCAATGTACTCGACGTAGGTTCAGTGTACTCGACGTAGATTCAATGTACTCAACGTAGGTTCAGTGTACTCATCGTGGGTTCAATGTACTCGACGTAGGTTCAGTGTACTCGACGTAGATTCAATGTACTCGACGTAGGTTCAGTGTACTCGACGTGGGTTCATTGTACTCGACGTGGGTTCAGTGTACTCAACGTGGGTTCAATGTACTCGACGTAGATTCAATGCACTCATCGTGGGGTCAATGTACTCGACGTAGATTCAATGTACTCATCGTGGGTTGAATGTACTCGACGTAGATTCAGTGTACTCAACATAGGTTCAATGTACTCGACGTAGGTTCAGTGTACTCAACGTGGGTTCAATGTACTCGACGTAGGTTCAGTGCACTCGACGTAGATTCAATGTACTCAACGTAGATTCAATGTACTCATCGTGTGTTCAATGTACTCGACGTAGGTTCAGTGCACTCGACGTAGATTCAATGTACTCAACGTAGATTCAATGTACTCATCGTGGGTTCAATGTACTCGACGTGGATTCAGTGTACTCATCGTGGGTTCAATGTACTCGACGTAGGTTCAGTGTACTCAACGTAGGTTCAATGTACTCGACGTAGATTCAATGTACTCATCGTGTGTTCAATGTACTCGACGTAGGTTCAGTGTACTCATCGTGGGTTCAATGTACTCTACGTGGATTCAATGTACTCGACGTAGGTTTAGTGTACTCATCGTGGGTTCAGTGTACTCGACGTAGATTCAATGTACTCATCGTGGGTTCAAGGTACTCGACTTAGGTTCATTGTACTCAGCGTAGGTTCAATGTACTCGACGTGGATTCAGTGTACTCATCGTGGGTTCAATGTACTAAACGTAGGTTCATTGTACTCATAATGGGTTCAATGTACTCGACGTGGATTCAATGTGCTCAACGTAGGTTCAATGTACTCATCGTGGGTTCAATGTACTAAACGTAGGTTCAATGTACTCATCGTGGGTTCAATGTACTCAACGTAGGTTCAATGTACTCATCGTGGATTTAATGTACTCATCGTGGGTTCAGTGTACTCAACGTAGGTTCAATGTACTCAACGTAGGTTCAATGTACTCAACGTAGGTTCAATGTACCCATCGTGGGTTCAATGTACTCATCGTGGGTTCAGTGTACTCAACGTAGGTTCAATGTACTCATCGTGGGTTCAGTGTACTCAACGTAGGTTCAATGTACTCAACGTAGGTTCAATGTACTCAACGTAGGTTCAATGTACTCATCGTGGGCTCAATGTACTCATCGTGGGTTCAGTGTACTCAACGTAGGTTCAATGTACTCATCGTGGGTTCAATGTACTGTTCAATAATACATTGAAAACGTTGTTGTTAGATTTCAGGGTTTAATATCTTGTTTATGAAAGGTTTTTCTTCTTCATGGGCTTGTAAGAACATAAAGAAGCAGCACTGCAGCAGGCCTACTGGCCCATGCGAGGCAAATCCAGCTCACACCCACCCACTCGTGTATTTATCTAACCTATTTTTAAAACTACACAATATTTTAGCTTCCGTGACGGTACTCGGGAGGTTGTTCCACTCAACCACAACTCTGTTACCAAACCAGTGCTTTCTTGTGTGTTTGTGTGTGTGTTGTTGTTGTTGTTGTTGTTGTGTGTGTAATCTGAGGCGCGGAGTTGGTCCATTGGGGCACGTAAGGTATGTCGTGACTCACCTGGTGTGTGAGTCAGTGTCACTTACGCCACCACCACCAAACCACCATCACCACCACCAGCCCACCATCACCACCACCACGATCATCACCACCACCACCACCAGTCCACCATCACCATCACCACCACCACCACCAGTCCACCATCACCACCACCACCACCAGTCCACCATCACCACCACCACCACGACCACCACCAAAACACCACCACCACCACAACAACAAAAACACAAATTCACCACCACTAAATTACTAACTACCACAGGTAGTCACCACAGCTATCACAACCAAATCCACATTCACAGCATAATATATATATTTAGCTACAGATATCAATTCTTTTCAGTATTTTATATGTCGTTATTATGTTTTCCCTGTCCCTCCTGTCCTCCAGTGTGGTCAGGTTGAGTTCCCTTAACCTCTCCTCCTAGGACATACCCTTTAGCTCTGGGACTAGTCTTGTTGCAAATCCTTGCACTTTCTCTAATTTCTTGACGTGTTTAACCAGGTGTGGGTTCCGTACTGGTGCTGCATGCTCCAACACGGGCCTGACATACACGGTGTACAGAGTCTTGAACAATTCCTTTGAAGATTGAGACACTTATGCAGCATATGGGAATCTTTATTCAGGAAACGTTTCGCCACACAGTGGCTTCATCAGTCCAATACAAAGAAGGCGTAAGGAGAGGAGGAGAATGAGGTAATCAGTCCCTCAACCTGGAGTCGATGTGTTCAGTCCATCAATCTTGTAGAATGTACAGCATAGGGCCGTAGACGTGGCTTATATACTGTAGTGAGGTGAGGTGAAGCAGGCGGAGGCGGGGTCATAGTGGTACCATCCACTAGTCGAAGTAGGTCTTCGTCCAAAGGTTGAACAAGTGTTGAAGAATTCTTTGTAACAACTTGTCGGTTTTTCAAACCATTCATCACAACTGTCAGACACTGCAGCATCATGGGATCTTGTTACAAAGAATTCTTCAACACTTGTTCAACCTTTGGACGAAGACCTACTTCGACTAGTGGATGGTACCACTATGACCCCGCCTCCGCCTGCTTCACCTCACCTCACTACAGTATATAAGCCACGTCTACGGCCCTATGCTGTACATTCTACAAGATTGATGGACTGAACACATCGACTCCAGGTTGAGGGACTGATTACCTCATTCTCCTCCTCTCCTTACGCCTTCTTTGTATTGGACTGATGAAGCCACGGTGTAGCGAAACGTTTCCTGAATAAAGATTCCCATGTGCTGCATAAGTGTCTCAATCTTCAACTTGTCGGTTTTTCAAACCATTCATAACAATTCCTTTGATGTGCAAGAAAGGTATAAAATACCGACAATATGAAAGTTAAGACACATGTGCAACATCTGGATATCTTTATTGTAGACGTTTCGCCATCCAGTGGCTTTATCAATACAGATTCTAGGCCGAGGGACTGATTACCTCATCTTTTGTATATAGTTCTACTGTCTTCCTATTATGTCCTAGAATCTGTATTGATAAAGCCACTGGATGGCGAAACGTCTACAATAAAGATATCCAGATGTTGCACATGTGTCTTAACTTTCAATTCCTTTGATGTCGAAACACTACTCTCAGATTTGCCAGGCGCCCATATGCTGCAGCAGTTATTTGGTTGATGTGCGTCTCAGATGTGCTTGGTATGATGCTCACAGCAGGAGCCTTTTACTGAGTTTTGCAGTATATATATATATATATATATATATATATATATATATATATATATATATATATATATATATAAATATATATATATAATCTTGCGCACACACACACACACACACACAGACAGAGAGAGAGAGAGAGAGAGAGAGCAGCATTAATGTGTAGTCATGTGCCTCTGTGAATAAGTTCACATCAAATCGTAACTCTTAAAACAACATCGTCAAATAAGCTTTGATCCCCTGTACCCCCCCCCCCCCCACACACACAAACACACACACACACATAATCTTCTTGACCATCCCAACATTCATGGCTGTGCCAAATCTACCTACCCTTAAATATATGTATTTTCCCCCTTGAGATATAACTCTCTGGAGAGGGAGAGGGGAAGGAGGGGGGGGGGAACTTTTGTGGAGTGTGGAGGGGCAGTGTTGGGGAAGTTGGAGTCCCGTGGATGAGTCAGTTTAGTAAGTAATGCCAAAATCACCACCTCATTATTTTTTTTTCTTCATTGGCTTGCTGGTGTAGTGTCTTATATTCTGTGTGAATCATGCTTTCCTCTTGATACCTCCTAGGAAGAGGAGGAAGAAGAGGAGCATAAGGATCTGGAGGAAGAGGTAGTGAAGGAGGGCTAAGTGGTGTAGATGGAGGTAATGAAAATACTCGGGAGTCGAACCCTGGTCCTTACCGTTGTTATAA